TAGAAAACCAAGATGCTACAGATACAGGTCATCTTGGTCCTAACAATTTAAAAGATCTTTCAACGAAAGAAAACACTGTACAAGTAGAGCATTTTGGTAACCAAGTTCAACCAGCTACTGATACAGGAAATTGTCCCAAAGATTTAGAAAACCAAGATGCTACTACAGGTTATCATGGTCGTGACATTAGAGATAACCTATCAACTTGCCATGATGAAAGCGAGGGTCAAGCCAAACATCATAGAGACAGACAGCCTTGGGAATTTCCACCAACTGGCAAATCACATTCTTTGACTCCGCAAAAGGACGCCAAAGATCATGGATTACCTGTAAAATCAGCTCATAATGAAAATAAGGATTCTGATTCTGTTAACACTAGATCTACTTCAGAGAGTTTCGTTCCACTAGACGAAGAGCCATTTGATCCCAAGGGCTCACGTGTTGATAGTGGTACCGATGATAGGCAACTAGGCTCAACAACACCCATAGAGGCATGCGCAGATAATAACAGGAAAATCTTACATGCCAGTGAACATGTTCAGACACTAGACCCAGGATCTAAAATTTTTCATTCAGAGCCACACAATGCTTGCACAAGGTCTCGTGTTCAAGATGTACAAGCTCAGTTGCCAGAACAACCAAACCTGCAGGTAATATATTATTAATTTTGCAACTTATTATCAAATTATCAATACAGTCAACTCAATGTGGACACCCTCAGGACAATGAATTGGTACCCATAATAGTGAGCATCTACAACAGCTAGAGTATACTTACATTCATTTCTTTGTTAGTTTTTTTGATGTCACCAATCAGTACGGTGTCCATGTGAGGCAAATATTGGAAACCAGCCCTTAAATGCTGTATTCATATTTGATACCCAATTGATAATAAGATTCTTCATTTGAGTTTTTCATGGCCTAAATTCTGTTAAACAAATAAATGATACTCTTGGGAATGGCCAGGATCATCCAATCCGAAAAGATCTTTATTGCAGAAATTAATTTTTTCATTCATGAATATACTTTTAGCTTTTATATTGGCAATATCTTTGGAATATTCCCAAAAGGAGGACCATATTCTGCTCCCTGATTTGGTTATTCATCATATGCAACTATTGTTAGAATATTTGTGCACTTTCCCAGTCAAATAATTATTTGTAAGAAAAAGTCATTTGTTTACATATTTTTGTTGTGATTTACTTTGCAGAATCTGCATGTTTTTGAATTACTTGTTCCCCAGCTGGTAGAAACTGTGTGTAATAATTCAAAGGTACATTGTATATAAATTATTTTTTATTTGATTTGAAATTGAATTTGGTTTTATAATTATTTGTTAATGTAAAAGATYGTAGATCAGTTTCATATGACTGTGAAAAGCTCTGTGTCGTACGCATGTTTTCTATAATCCTTGATATGGCTGATTTTTTCCAGTGCAATGTGATTAGTCTGGTAGTATATTGACCTGGCATTACGTTGTCTGTGCCATGTTCATGTAATATGTTTTGAGTATTTGATTGAATGAATTGTATTAATTTTAGAATTGCTTGTTGGTTTTCTCCTGTGTTTTCTTAAGGTCCTCTGTTATTTTTCTCCTAAATTTCAATCACAGAGCAAGGCCTTGTGTTTCTTAGCCACTGGCTATTTATTAAGTGCTATTCCTCTTACACCAAGAACTATTTACTTATGAAATGTGTTTTTTCACTCGGTAAAGATCTATATAATGTTGAGTGTATGCTACATCGAGTGTAAGCAGATTTTTAAAAAATCTGCCTCTGCTAGAGGAGATCTCAACCGCCGGGCCACTGAGGCTTTACGGGAGAAGGTCATGTTAGATCTACATTTTAATCAAATCTGCACATGATCTTTTACCCAACACGAGATGGGACGAACACAACTGAGGCAGACTTTTTAATCTGCTTATACACTCGATGTATAGTAGCATACACTTAACATTAACTTATTATTTATTTATTTTTATTTTTATAATTCCATATAATAATACAAGAAGTTGTCCTTTCAGCAGCTTTGTAGAGACATCAGAAATAAGTGAATATGTACGGCCAATACTGCTGTCAATATTTGAGCCTGAAAAAGAATATTCAGGCCTAAAACAGGACTCAAATTAGCACACTTAGACTACTTATTTTTAAAATCCCATTTTATTTGTTTTTATTTGAATAAAAGGTGGCTTTGGCACAAGCAAACAGAGAGACTCAGAATGTTGACATCCAAGGGACATCATGCTCCAACTGTAATGCCCTACAAGAAGAAAATGATCATTTAGAAGACGAAGTAGCGACTTTAAATGAGAAGGTTGAACAAATGCAAGAGCAGATTACTGAACTTGAAGAGTCTTTGAGTAACCAAGATTATGAAATCAGAATTCTCAAGCAACAGAATCAGCAGCTTTTAATGCAGTTCGCTTCGTGTGAAGAGACTATCAAATCTCAACACGAGGTTAGTGTCAATAAAATATTTTTAAAATGCATATGACACAAAAACATTTTAATGTCAAAAATGTGTACATGTAGTTTATTGGAATTAATAAGAATATCACGGTTTAATTTTTTTCAAAAACATATTTCCCTAGAAATTCGAGAAATTTTAGCACAAGTTGAATTGTGACATCATTTTGTTTACAAGTCTCCAGATTTAGTTGCAAATATACGAAATATGTTTGAATGAAGAATCTTATTTCAGGTAATACACTTTTCAGTTTCCCAGCATTTGGAGAGAACTATGTAAGCTGAATAGAATATGCCTTATGAATTACGATTTATATTTAGTGCATTACTAATGAATCTAAATAAACAAAACGACATCACAATTTGGGCTTAACTTTCTCACATATCCCAAAAAAATAAGCTTTTACAGCGCCTTTCATAATTACGCGACCTTGGTGCTCTTGAGTTGCACGCTGAAATTTGGTTTTCCGCTGCCGTCAATCAAACCTAATCAGTCGGTAACTTTCATATTTTTGACTGGCGGCAGCGAAAAACCAAATTTCAGCGTGCAACTCAAGAGCACCTAGGTCCCGTAATTATGAAAATAGCTGTAAAACAAATTTTGTTATGATATAATTTTATTATTATACTATATCAAACTATACATTTTTAAATGGTGAAATGTTTTCATGTCATATACACTTCAAACCACAGATGTGATATAATTACCCAAAACTTTTTTAGGCATTTTAAAAAAAATCTACTAGCTTTAGCTGTTGTATCACAGTGTGGGAAAATCACAACAGAGCTAGGCTCAAAACTAGGTGAAAGCTGAGAGATGGAATTAGAAGTTAGTAGTTGATTTTTGTGGAGGGAGGAAAACCGGAGAACCTGGAGAAAAACTCTCAAAGCACAGAAGAGAACCAACAAACAACTCAACTCACATACGACACCGAGCTCAACGGGACTTGAACCTGGGTCTCATTGAGTGAGATGTGGCACCCTAGCAGCGCATGTCACTGGTGCTTCCCAATTTTATTAATTCATTTGATCACTTAATGCACTTAATGGTAACAGGGCAATAATTATAAAATTATTGACTCTAGTATGTGTAATTATTAAAAAGACTCTAGTATGTACGAAGTTACAAAATAACTGTTATTAATGTCACATTCTAATTATTGGTTTGGAGCTCGTGCTTTATGATAGTACATTGCATGTGCGCTCACTATCCATTGCGTCATTCCTATCTAAAATAACAGTTATTGTAATTTGTAATTTTCCACTACACGTCATGCTTTTACTCACACTTCTCTCGTGTTCTGGCTGCAACCACTGCATGCTTTATTGCTGGACACAGCACGCGCGCACTTACTTCTCGTTGGTTTAGTGTGGAGAGAAGGGAGTTGCCATTTAAAGTGGTGACATATCCTAGCCACACAAGATTGTTATATGTAGATGTAATTTTTTCTTAGTCATATTTTAAGACCCTGATTGTTGGTCCAGCAAGGAAAATCTGATGATCAACCAACTAAGCCAACCAGATGTTAGTTACTAGTAAGATAAATTCCATACAGATAGTTGGGAGAACTGATGGCATTTTAAGATCTCACACCTCAATACTTTATGTCAATTTAAAAAAAAAAAAAAACTTCAAATATGTGTCAATTCTGGTTATATCCCCACACACCGGTTATAAGCCAAGCTCTGGGGTGCTTACCAATTAAACCAATACATCTGGTTGGAAATTCGTTAGCTATTGGTAAAAATAGACTGGGAAAATTTGACTTCCCAAACATGGTACATGCATGTGCGCATATCTACCAGAAACCAAAAAGAGCGGGAAAAGTAGATTACCTCGATCAGAAGACCGAGTTTTACAGAACTTTCTAATTGTAGAATGATACATACCATTTGTTTTCCAACCCGGTATTTGTTTTTTTCGGGTAAATAGTAAGCAAACCCGTGTATAAATATCTCATCTTTATGGTGTTTGATGACATAAAGGGTAATCGTGTACTTCATGACCCTATTGCCTGACTATTGGCCAACAGTTTTGGGGAAGTGATGGTCAAGTGTTTGGCAATTGTACGTTGGTCAACAGTCGAGCAATAGTCGACTGACACATGTTGGCTGGTCATGAAGTAAACAATAATTACCAACATAAAGATTGGTAGATAGCTTTTTTAAAAATAATTATATCTTTTTCTTCTCCATCCCAAGTGGACCCTTGTTTGTGGATGTGAGGCTAACATGAAAGTACTAAAAAACAAAATGTTTTCTCGATGGAATTTGTGGCACTTCTTTTGTACTTCCATGTTAGCCCCGCATTCACAGCCTCACTTTGTTTGAGCTTTTGTTTGTTTCAAAGCAGGAAGCACCTTTTTTAGTTTCTCTCAAAGCATGAAATATGTGCTTTTATAACTTCAAAATGTATTATATTTTCAGGATAAGAAAGATGACAAGAAGATTATAGATTTGCTCATTGAGGTAATTTTACTTCAAGATATAGCAAAGTCACAGTTAGTACATATTACAAAACAAAGTTTATTCGTATAGGAAATAATTGCACAATCTCGTAAAGGCGATCAAGTGTACATGTAATTAAAGAACTTTCAAAACATTTGTCTATTAATTCCAAATTGTACGAAAAGATCGTGCGATTTTTTGTTTATAGTTCACTCAACAAAATTTTAGTAAGAAATGCAAAGCGACGCCGTTCATCTTTGTCTATTTGGTGGCCGATTTTCAGTCCATCGCGCAACTGAAATGCATAAAAAAGATAAGTTCTTACAGCTTTGAAATTTTTTTAGATATTTTTAAGTACAAAATGATAGAAAAAATTGTTTTGACCGTGTTGCCATAGGAGTACAATTAACGCTATAATTGTACTCCTCTCAACCAGTACTATAAATGGATTACGTAATTATGCACTTAATTCAATCCGGTTGCAATGTTTTGAGGATTTTTAGGAAATCTTGTTAAATTAAATTATCATCTTATTTCTTTTAACAATTTTGCTTTGTTGTTGAACTGGCAGAGGAACAAGAAGTGGCAAGAAGAGCTAAACTTGGCAAATAAGAGGGCATTTGAGGTAAGTATCTGCAATACTGTTGGATTTAAAGCAGTTCCTGTGCAGACACACTGACTGGGATCATTTGAAGAAATTTAACCAATCACAACAGTAGGAGTAAGAGATTGTGATTAGCTGAGGTCAATATATATCATACTGATTTCGCTCACTCCTGATTGGATAAAGTTTTTTATCTTGAATTCCGTTCAATTGGTCCCAGTTAGTGTGTCCATACTGTAATAATCTTTAAGTACTAGGCTCTCAAACTTAGCTTGGTGATTGCAGTAACCTTCATGTATATTTTTCATTCCTTTCTAGTTTGCCCTAAAAAGAGAAGAAGAGTTTGACGCTTTACTAATGACCATGAAAGACAGAACAAAGGTATATAATATGTTCATCTTATTTATAATATTTCTTGAATGCAGCAATTTAGAACCTGCAAGGGCATTTAAAAAAATAATCTTATCATTTTTTCTTATCATTGTCATTGATGCATTGTCACCATCACTGCTATCATTATCACTATCATCATCACTATTACTTCTTTCAACTCATTAAATCAACACCATCATTACAACCATTGAACAACCATTATCTGTGTCAACATCATCATCATATCACCACCATCATCTTCTCTTCTCTTCATGACCTTCATCTTCATCTCCACCATATCATCATTATCAGTGCTCTGAATATCATTTTATTATCAACATCATTATCACCATTGTCATTATCCTCATGAAGATCATGATAATGATTAATTGTCGTCATGCTGTCTTCTTACGACCACATATCACACCTAAAAATGCCAGTTTTGAACCATGTAATAATTCCTCCATTTCTATTGGCTGATAGCAGGATAGCAGAAAATCTCTCTGGTTTGGCCACAAGCAGTCGATGAATGAAAACCAGCAATTGATTTCTATTAGTATCAGGGGACAAAGATTGGAGGTTGCACCTAAAAATATGCAGAAAATTAGGGCAATTAACATATATGATAGTAATAGTATTTCATTAACAAGAAGTTCACTCAGCACTGAGAGAACAATTAAGGCAACTGTGCGTTTATGATCGCTGCTCCAATATTATGGAATAGACTGCAGCTTTGTCTATAAGACAAGCAGCTACTATTGGCAACTTTAATTACTAAAGACTTATTTATTTACCACTGTTATTAATTATTTGTAAGTAAACATAAAATAAGACACTTGAGAGAATCACTAAAGAGTTGTTTTACACTCCAAAAAAATAACTACTCACAACTTACTACTACTATGATTATCATCATCATCATCATCCTCACCATCATCATCATTATCGTCATCATTATCATCATCATCATCAACATCACCATCATCACCACATCACCATCATCATCACCATCACCATTAGCATCATGATCATCACCATCATCATCATTATCATCATCATTATTATTATCATTATTTTCTATTATGCAGTTTAAAACATGTAGATGCTTAAAAAATTGTTTTTATTTTATTTTATTTATTTATTAATTATATTCATTTATTTGATATAATTTATTTAATTATTTATTTTTGTATATAGACTTCTTTCAAGAAAATGTCCTTTATCAACATGTAAAACAAACCTTCTGCTTATAAACAGAAGAAAGTTTTCTTGTATTACTTAAACACCAGTTTTTGGAAAGGATATTTGTCATCTCTGTCATGTATTATTCAACATGCTCATTATATTGACCCTACTCTTGAATGCAAGGCTAACATGAAAATACAAGACAAAATCAGAGTTCTTGTAAATGAAATTTGTGACATTTCTTGTAGGATATCGAGAAAGTCAAAAGGAAGGCTATGGCTGAGAAAGAGGAAAACAAGGTGTTAAAGGCAAAGATCAAGGAGTGGGACGAAAGATGGAAAGAAAGGAAAAAGGATGAAAAAGGAGCAATACAAGGACAGAGAAGCTTGAGACAAGAACTAAGTGCCTTACAATACAGATTAGGTCTTAGATTCTTTGCTGATGATGTGGAGGTAGTATTCATTCATTCATTCATTCATTTATTTATTCATTTATTTATATTCATTTATTTATTTATTCATTCATTCATTCATTCATTTATTTATTCATTTATTTATATTCATTTATTTATTTATTCATTCATTCATTCATTCATTTAGTTTATTCAAATTTTTAAAACTATTGGTTGTTCGCTTTTATTTTTACAGGAAAACGACTTCGATCGTCAGCAGGATGATGATGTCGTTGATTGACAGCATACAGCAGAAGGGAAACCAGGAATTTGTTACACAGGTGTCCCTAATGAAGAAATACATGTATGAGGCCTCGCTTCAAAAAACGTTAGAGTAATTACTGCGTTAGACGGGTGTCTGGTGCACCGCACAGCACCCCCTGGATCCACCCTGTACACTGAAGTAGTTATCTAGGTCTGCTCAAATAGGACAATGTCCTATGGGTGTAATGTGTAATGGTGCATGCTCCATCAACGCACTGCATATTATGCCATGAAGTGGCTATATATTCTTCTGATAAGAAAAAGAATGTAGCCAGTCACATGAATACAGGAGTGAGCCTTTCTTCAATATCTGATCACCAATATTAAGAATTGAGTTGGCTAATCAGTCCTATTCACTAAAAAATGGCAACATGGCATGCAGTAAATACAAAAAAAAAAACACAAACGAAGTGTGAAGAAAAACATGAGGATTGTGCATGCTGTTAATATTTGGTTACGACATGACAAAAGCTAATAACCATGACTGACTGTGAGGTTAATTCAGTCAGTGGTTTGAGAGGTGTCAGTAGGTGTTGAGTTAGATGTCAGTAGGTGTAATAAAGAAAAATAAGCTAAAACATTTTCTAGTCAGTTCGCTACTGACCAAGGTTACACTCGAATTGAATACACAGTACTATATCTATACTGATCCTTTTAAGTTTTAATGTAATTTTGAACATTTTATTCCAGAGAGTCTGAATATTGTTCTATAATATTAATATCTCAAAATTCAAATATGGCCTATTGTATAACATCTAAGGAGTTAAAATGAAGAATTTATAGATAGAAAAAATTACGTGTCAGAGACACATGGATTTTATGATTTTTAAGATAAGATTTTTGATTCAATGTAATTGATAATTATTCTCACTAGCCGATCAAGCCAATTCATGCATAAGTACAAGCACAATTTAACAAAAACTTCTGTTCTCTTTTGCTTGCATCGCGTCTTTTTATGTTGAGAAGATGCGCTAGCTTGGTGTTGCATCTGCTTGTGTCGCTAGTAAAAGAAGGTTTAGTATCAAACCATTATTTTAGAAAATATTTAATTATAGGTCATAATGCTAAAAAGAATCAATATGCTTTTTTGTAGCACTGCAGTTTAATCTTAAGTTTATGTTTATTGTTAAATTAGAGTAAAGCTACAAAATCATTAAAATTGTGAAGGTCATAAAATTTATTTTGTATTTGAAGTTGTCTAAAACTCATTTGCATATTGTATTTAGAACTGATTTGCGTATCTSATTTAAAARTCATTTGCRTAATGRTYYWAAWWWMA